CAATTAAAGACAAGTATCTATGAGTGGTTGTTGTCACATCTGCACAATTAGAAATGAAACTTACAGTACTATTTCGCGGATGCTTTCAACTTCGTCGTGTTCTGAACTTCCTGCCGACGCTCCTGGTGTCCCCATTAAAATCTGCTTCATTTTCATCGTACGGTATCTGCCGTAACTCCGCCATCTCCTCCATCTCCTCCACCTCCTCCCGGCTGACCGGAGTGTCAACCAGTGCCGGTACTGGTTCTTCCTCCTCTAAATATTGGTGCAACTCCGCTTGTTGTTGCTGTTGTTGTTCAAGGAGGTGGAGCGCGAACTGGTTTCGATTTTCTACTTCCCGTTCCAGATCTCGTTGTTCCTCCAGAAATTGATGGAACGCTTCTATTTGTTCGCGAGATGGTGGCGGAGTTGGCTGGCGTCGCTGGCAACCACTTCAGCAATATCATCGCAAACTTGCAAATTTTTACATGAACATAAGGAAATCAATGAAATCATCATGAAACAAATAGCACCAGGTACTTTGACGACAAATAATGATGTACAATATTCCTACGATGGAATATTGTACATTATTATTTGTCGTCATCATTATAGGAGTAAGATGTCAAGCTACAACAAATTTTGCAATCACAGAAAGTCAATTATTACTATACGATGGCAAAGGTATAGTCTCAGATCTGGGCCATGCTGAACACTGCACTATTCAAAGCGGAAGATGCAAAACCAGCAATAGTATTATTTTATGGGATATAACTGAAATATCGAAGAGTTGTCCATATCGAAAGATTGGCGTATCCACACATTTATGGAAGTCGTGTAATCACAGATGAACTTCAAACTTCACTTATTTTCAGCAACAACATTAAGACGATGATGAAAAAAGATTGTAAATTAACTAATCTTTATTGTATCAATGGTAATGTCATTACTAATATGCGATCAAATCCCTTACATATCATTGGAATGTTTGGAGCGTTACCGGCTCCTTTTTTAAGAAAATACAAAAGAATTGCGATATCTGAATTTTCGGATTCGCTAACACTCATTGCTGTTCATCTAAAATAAGCCTAAAATAAAATAAAATATTGATTAGTTTAAGAAAAGCATAGATATGAAATAATAAATAATTGATAACAGAAATCGCATAAAATCAATGAATTGGGAACAAGAAATATAATAGAATAATAATTGGCCAGCCATTTTCCGACATAATGCTACTCATATTTTTTAAGTTCATTTAATATCTAAAAGAAAATTAATTTAAATTTCAATAAATTTAAAAAATGTTTTGATTTGTTCATAGTGAAAAAACAATTCAAACACACTGAGATGACAGTAAAAAATGGTCACTTCATTTATCTAATTAAAATATCTATTTTACATACTAGATATCTATTCATATTTTTTTGATATCTTCTGATGATACCTATTGTTGATCGAATGTGGTCATTTGTTTTTGAGTGATTAGAAAGTGATGTGAAACCTGAGTGATAAAATGATAATTCATTGATTACGTATAATAATTACGAAATTAATTGCACATTTTAGATGTCTTCGTTTTGAATGTTTAAAACGTTTTAAATATCTCAATTTGTATATTTGTTTTATTGTGTTGCTGCTAATTACTTAAAAACAAATGCAATGCAACATTATCGATTATATCCGATCAATAATATACTTTATCAGAAGATGTTCATAAGACACAATTAATTTTGTAACGGCTAAATATAATCAGTGAATTATCATTTCATCCTCGATCATATCCAATCGACAATAGATATCATCGGAACGCATTTAAAACGCACAACTAATTTTGTGTTGAGTAAATATAATTACTGAATTGTCGTTTTATTATTCAAGTTTCACATTAATTTCCACTTTTTTTTTCTATTTTGCTGCTTCTAGTTACTCAAAAATAATTGCATTGTAACGTTATCGATCATATCCCATTTATAATAAATATATAGAAGACATTTACAGCACACAATTAATTTTGTTCTATTTAAATGCAATCAGTGAATTATTATTTTATCATTCAATTTCATTTCAGTTCTTATCTTTCTGTTGTTATACCGGTTCTAATTACTCAAAACTACTTATCTTTACAATACAGAAATAATTACAATATTTACAATAATTACAATATAGAAAAAATTACTTAATTACTTTACAATATAGAAATAGTTTTGGAATAATTAAACGCAGTTGTTTTATTATCATTTTTTCAGTTAAATTTTACAACGATTTACATATTTTTTTAATTGTATTGGTTCTAGTTACTCAGAAGTAATTGTATTGCAACGCTATTTCATCAGTAATTTGCAGCAATGATACTTACCTGTAAGTTTTCTGTATATGGTCTGCAAGTTACCTGCTTATTATGTATGTACGAATATTGATAAAGCTATCTATTAGGTGCGGAAGATGACACAATGCAGAGAATTTTATTCTCTAAAATAAAAAGAAAAACGATACTAATATCCATATGAAGCAAAAAATGATTAACTTATAAGCAAACGATAACAATGATAATAACAGGAAATTATTAGCAATAAAATAATGAGCAAGTGACAAAAATTTATCTAACGGAAAATGCCACATCAGAAATAACAGCGCCTTTTTCAACTTAAAATGCACCCCTCAGTTTCTTTTATATTTCTTCTTGTATACTTTTAACGAGTCACAAGTTATGTAACCTTTACTATATACAGTACAAGTGAAAGTTGGCCTATTTTTGTCATGTGCTGCTATGTTTCTTTCAAATGTTTCTGTTTGTGTCTTTGCAAACTACTTTTGTATGCGAAACTTTTCTTACATATTTCACAAATGTACGGCATTTCGCCAGT